CTTGAGTATTGATTAAATTAAAATAAATAAATAAATAAAAAGTGACGGTGACCAATTCCAACTAACTCATGCCTTGCCTTGGGAATTCTGACACGTTTCCCTTTTTTTTTTTTTTGGCCAAAGTCAAATATTTGGGTCTATCAATATCAATTTGTCATTGCACCCCCAGTTTCCGCTGCGTTGGTTAGAGTGCACCTGATCAGTGCATCTGACTTTTGGCTTCGTCAGAGTTGAAACTACAATAGTAGTCTTTTATTCTTTTTTTCCTTCAAAATTTTTTTGTTAAAAAAAAAAAAGAATTTATCGAAAAGGCAAAACCCTCGAATCACTCTTTTAAAAATATGAGTAGAGACTGATCCATTCTCTAAAAAAAAATTAAGGATATTTGGCCCTTTAAAAGTATCAATTGATCAAAATTGATTATTATTTAACAGATGATGTCATTATTGTCATGATCTCCATTTAACTCATGTCAATGTGTCTTTTTTTACATCCTGAATACTAATATGTACCAATCTCACTTTTTTCACACATCATGTCATTTGTGCATCTTTTATTTGACAATATGATTGATGAGTCTCACTCTTTATTTTATTTTTAATAGATATTTGATGGTCAACCTGTTTGGCCTCGTTCAAAGCTTTCAAAATTGGGGGTTAGGATTCTCTTCAAAACCACAAAACGATTACGCGATACAACACGCTCCTACATAAAGTACAAATGATCAAACAATTTATGTGCAGAAATAATTAACGAAATCTATCAACTAATTCGCTAAGCTAACCAGAAACCAGAAATGAATTTTCCTCTTTTACCTCAATAATCAACAACCAAACGGAAAACAGATCAGAACAAAATCACATAAAAACATTTTTTTCTTTTGGTTTTCTTTTTACTTTTTTTGGAGATCGGCACACAAAGTAACAAATATATGGTGCTTTTCTTGACAACAAAAAGAAAAGCTTTCTTTTTTTTAACTCGATTTTTCTCGGGAAACACAGAGAGGGAAATTGAAAGAGAGAGAAAAAAAAAAGAATACGCACAGTGGATTTAGTGCGAGTGGAAGTAGCGGAGACGAATTGAGAGCGACAAGTATCGCCTCTTACGCGAAAACATCCAAAGAAACAACCCATGATTCTCGATACAAATTACTTGAGAAATCTGAGAAACGATCTGGCAATGAAACCAAATTGGCGATTGAGCAATTGACATATCATTGATATACGAAATTCGATTTCAGGTTTGGAGCCGGAAATGGAGCCCTCAGAAGGAGCTTTAGTGTGGGAGTTTTAAGAGCAGATTTAACCTAATTGTAGAAATGAGAGAAAGCCTTGTGGTTTTATAGTTTTGAAGAGAACCCTAACCCCCAACTCTGAAAACTTTGAACTAGGGCAAACAAGTTGGCCATCAAATATCGATTAAAAATGAGATAAAAAGTGGGACTCACCAATCATATTGTCAAACAAAGGTCGTGCAAATGATACGGTGTGTGAAAAGAGAGAGATTGGTACACATCAGCATCCAATGTGTAAAAAAACGACACGCTGGCATGGCCTAAACGGAGATCGTGACGGTGATGATGTCATCTGTTAAATAATGACTGATTTGGGTCAATCAATACTTTTGGAGGGCCAAATGTCCCTTTTTTTTTTAGGGTGGATCCGTCCCTACCCACATTTTTAAAGGGATGATTTGAGGGTTCTACCAAAAATATAGAGCTTGCCTTTCGCCTCACTCAAATTTGAATTTTCCTTTTCCAAATTGAGGGAATCATAAGAAAAAAAAAAGAAAGTTTTTCTTTTTTAATTCCAATATCTAAATGCGAAGAATGAAGTTTAATTCAAGAAACATTTTAGTAATTAGGAATTTGAATTTTTACGATAAAAATTTTAAGTTTAAATTGAAAGATAATAACTACTTTTATTGTATAACTTGTTATCTAATGTATAAAAAAGAAAAAATAAAATGAATAAAATGAAATATTAATATTTTTTAGTTTAATTTTTATATGTTACTAACAATTTACTAGTTTGAGTAAAAAGAGTTTAATTTTTTCTTTATGTAAAATTTTTATTTCAAATCTAATGAATGAAGTAACAGATACTAAGAGAACTCTAGATTATTGTTTGTGAATACTAAGGGTTAATACTAAAAAAAAAAAAAAACTCTATGTGTTTTCTGTTGATAACAAAAAAAAAAAAAGTTATTAAACATTAATACTCATGCCATTTGCATGATTAAAAAACAAAACTAATACTACTAAATCTTTCA